ACGATCCTAAATATATACACACCCAATACAGGAGCACCCAGATACATAAGGCAAGTTATTAATGACTTATAAAGAGACTTAGACTCCCACACAATAATAGTGGGAGACTTTAACATCACATTGTCAATATTAGACAGATCGAGACAGAAAATTAACAAGGATATTCAGGACTTGAACTCAGACCCGGAACAAGTAAACTTAATAAACATTTATAGAACTCTCCACCCCAAATCCACAAAACATACATTCTTCTCAGTACCACATCACACCTACTCCAAAAGTGACTACATAATTGGAAGTAAATCACTCCTCAGTAATTGCATAGCATTTCACAGATTTAAATGAAATACTGGTTGGCTGCTTGCTTTTTTCCTCCCTTATTCCTTCCTGTCTCCATTGTTAAGCACAATTATTGGCATAAAAGAGGTTTTTAATACCAGTTTTTAGACTGCATTCTAGCCTGGGCGACAAAGCAAGACTCCCGTTCTCCCTCCCTCTTTCTCTTACTCTTTCTTTCTCTCTTTCATTCTTTTTTTCCTTTCTTTCTTTCTTTTTTTCTTTTTCTTTCTTTCTTTCTTTCCCCCCCAAAAAAAAGAGCAAAGGAAAACCTGGCCTGGCCCTTGTCTCCAGGACTGGGAAGAGGGTTGAGCCCACAAGCAAAAAAAAAAAAAAAAAAGCTTTCTCAACTGATTATCCAATCTTTACTAAATTTGTGTATTTGAACATGCACAGCATATAAATCAAGAACCACACTATTTAGCAATCGTGCATTGTCACTTATCATTAATTATGGGTTTTGTTTGTTTTGTTTTTGAGAAGGAGTTTTGCTCTTGTTGCCCAGGTTGCAGTGCAATGGCGCGATTTCGGCTCACTGCAACCTCCGCCTCCCAGGTTCAAATGATTCTCCTGTCTCAGCCTCCTGAGTAGCTGGGATTATAGGCATGTGCCACCATGCCCGGCTAATTTTATATTTTTAGTAGAGACGGGGTTTCATCATGTTTGTCAGGCTGGTCTTGAACCCCTGACCTCAGGTGATCCACCCACCTCAGCCTCCCCAAAGTGCTGGGATTACAGGTGTGAGCCACCCTGCCCAGCCAATTATGTTATTTTCATGTACCCCCAAATATTACAAAGTTCTTGCCTATAAAGTGGACCATGTTTTATACTTTGTTGTTGTTGTTGTTTTGTTTTTGAGACAATATCTTTCTGTCTCCCAGGCTGGAGTGCAGTGGTGTGATCTCGGCTCACTGCAACCTCTGCCACCAATGCTCAAATGATTCTCCTACCTCAGCCTCCTGAGTAGCTGAAAATACAGGTATGCACCACCACGCCCAGCCAATCTTTGTACTTTTAGTAGAGATTGGGTTTCCCCATATTGGCCAGGCTGGTCTCAAACTCCTGAGCTCAAATTGTCCGCCCCCCCTCAGCCTCCCAAAATGCTGGGATTATAGGTGTGAGCCTCTGTGCTCAGCCTATACTTTGGTTTTGACCTCTCCACACCACTAAGAAGCACAATAGTGTTATAATGTGCTTCATAGTATAATGTATGTACACCCTACATTCTAGGCACCCAGTAAATATTTCACCATTGGCCGACTGATTTCAGTCCTCAGAGAAGCCTCTCCGGGCCTTAAAGAAATAGTCTCCAGGCTGGGCACAGTGGCTCACGCCTGTAATCCCAGCACCTTGGGAGGCTGAGGCAGGCAGATCACGAGGTCAGGAGTTCAAGACCAGACTGGCCAGCACAGTGATACTCCGTCTCTACAAAAAATACAAAAAATTACCTGAGTGTGGTGGTGCACTCCTGTAGTCCCTGGGAGACTGAGGCACAAGAATTGCTTTAACCTGGGAGGCAGAGGTTGTGGTGAGCCAAGATCATGCCACTGCACTCCAGCCTGGGCTGCAGAGCGAGACTCCATGTCAAAAAAAAAAAAAAAGAAAGGAAAAGAAATAGTCTCCAGTTAGCTACAATTATTGCCAGACCCACAAGCATGATACCCTCCCATGTATTTGTTCCCTCATTATTCATTGACTTCTGACTATATGCCTAGCTACATTGTGTTCTATGTGTCTAGGCATCCTAGGCATCGGAGACCCAGCAGTTTATAGCACATGCTATTGGTGATGAGCTCATGTCTTCCTCAGAACATGCTAAAGGCCACTTGCAAACAGTTTCCTTTCTTTTCTTTTTTTTAATTGAGATGGAGTCTCACTCTGTCACCCAGGCTGGAGTGCAGTGGCGTGATCTCAGCTCACCATAGCCTTTGCATCTCAGGTTCAAGCGATTCTCATGCCTCAGTCACCCAAGTATCTGGGACTACAGGAGTGGACCACCACACTCAGGTAATTTTTTGTATTTTTTAATAGAGACGGGGTTTCACTGTGTTGGTCAGGCTGGTCTTGAACTCCTGACCTCAAGTGATCTGCCTGCCTCAGCCTCCCAAAGTACTGGGATTATAGGCATGAGCCACCATGCCCAGCCCAGTTTCCTTTCTTAAAAATTTTTTTGGCTGAGTGCAGTGGCTCACTACTGTAATCCCAGCACTTTGGGAGGCTGAGGTCTGCAGATAACCTGAGGTCAGGAGTTTGAGACCAGCCTGGCCAACATGGAGTAATCCCATTTCTACTAAAAATACAAAATTCACTGGATGTGGTGACTCATGCCTGTAATCCCAGCTACTCAGAAGGCTGAGGCAGGAGAATCGCTTGAATCCAGGAGGTGGAGGTTTTGGTGAGCCAAGATTGCACCATTGCACTCCAGCCTAGGCAACAAGAGCGAAACTCTGTCCCAAAAAAAAAACCAAAAAACTTTTCTTCAGCTACTTGGGTGGCTAAGGCAGAAGAATTGCTTGAACCCGGGAGGTGGAGGTTGCAATGAGCCAAGATCCTGCCACTGCACTCCAGCCTGGGCGACACAGCAAAACTCCATCTCAAAAAAAAAAAAAAGTTTTTGTAGAGACTGAGTCTGGCTGTGTTACACAGGCTGGTCTTGATCTCCTGGCCTCAAGCAATCCTCCTGTCTCAGCCTCCTGAGTTGCTGGGATGACAGGTATGAACCACAGCACCTAGTGCACAAGCAGTTTCCTGTGTCTCTCTTGCCTTGGGTGTTCTCCGACCATGGAAGCCTCCTTGGGAGGAGCAGAGTCAAAATGTTAAGGAGTTAATTCCCCTAGAGCCCAATGAGGGATGAAAGATGGTGAATAAATACCCCAGCTTCAAGGCCAAGCACAGTGGCTCACACCTATAATCCCAGCACTTGCAGATGCCAAGGCAGGAGGATCACATGAGCCCAGGAGTTCGAAACCAACCTGGGCAACATGGTAAGACTTTGTCTCTACAAAAAATAAAAATAAAATTAAAAATTAGCTGGGTGTGTTGGTGTTTGCCTGTAGTCCCAGTTACTTAGGAGGCTGGGGTGAAAGGATCACTTGAGCCCAGGAGACTGAGACTGTAGTGAGCTGTAATCACACCACTGCACTCCAGCCTGTGTGACAGAGTGAGATTCTGGATTCTGTCACACACACACACACACACACACACACACACACACACAAAGAAAAAAGAAAAAATCACCCTAGCTTGCTCAACTTTCTTTCTTTCTTTCTTTCTTTTTTGAGACAGAGTCTCTCTCTGTCGCCTGGAATGCAATGGCATGATCTCAGCTCACTGCAACCTCTGCCTCCCAGGTTCGAGCGATTCTCCTGCCTCAGCCTCCTGAGTAGCTGGGATTAGAGGTGTGTGCCACCACACCCAGCCAATTTTTGTATTTTTAGTACAGACGGGGTTTTGCCATGTTGACCAGGCTGGTCTTGAACTCCTGACTTCAGGTAATCTGCCGGCCTTGGTCTCCCAAAGTGCTGGGATTACAGCCGTAAACCATCACATCTGGCCTTAACTTTCTTTTTTAAAAAAGGCTGGGCGAGGTGGCTCAGGGCTGTAATCCCAGCCCTTTGGGAAGCCAAGGCAGGTGGATCACAAAGTCAGGAGTTTGAGACAAGCCTGGCCAATATGGTGAAACCCTGACTCTACTAAAAATACAAAAGTTAGCTGGGTGTGGTGGCTATAGTCCCAGCTATTTGGGAGGCTGAGGCAGAACTGCTTGAACCCAGGAGCCAGAGGTTGCAGTGAGCTGAGATCGCACCAGTACACTCTAGCTTAAGTGACAGAGGGAGATTCTGTCTCAAAAAAAAACCCATTATTTTATTTACTTTATTTTTATAGAGGCAAGATCTCTGTTTTAAGCCTGCCAAGAAAAAGAAAAAAAATAAAAAAGACAGGATTTCATTATGTTGGCCAGGTTGGTCCTGAACTCTTGGCCTCAAGCAATCTTCCTGCCTCAGCTAGGATTATAGGCATGAGTCATCGTGCACGGCTCTCAACTTCTTTTTTTCTTTCCTTTCCTTTTTTTTTTTGACATGGAGTCTTCTCTGTCGCCCATACTGGAGTGCAGTGGTGTGATCTTGGCTCACTGCAACTTCTGCCTCACAGGTTCAAGAGATTTTTCTGCCTCAGCCTCCCAAGTAGCTGGGATTACAGGTGTGTGCCACCACACCCAGCTAATTTTTATATTTTTAGTAGTGATGGGGTTTCACCATGTTGGCTGAAGCTGGTCTAAAACTCCTGAGCTCAAGTGATCTGCCCGCCTCAGCCTCCCAAAGTGCTGGGATTAGAGGCGTGAGCCACAGCACCCAGCCCCAGCCCTCAAGTTTCAATGAGACAATCCTCAGCATGTCCTAGACAGTTGGAGGGTCCTCACAGGACTGAACCCCAGTGCCCAAAGCAGTAACCCACTCATTAACACACCCTTTCTTGGCTTTCCTCTCTTTCCTGTTTTATGTCCCCATTCCGTCAATGAATTGACAGAAGTCAACTCCAAAATAAACAACTTGCTCTGAAATCCCTTCTCAAGGTCTAAGACTGTGGTGATCAAGTCAGCCAAGGTCCCTACTCTCCCAAAACAACACACGTGTTTGCGTTCAAACAGTCTACACCTCCTGCACCTGTGCATGCATCCATGAAGCTCTGTCAAACGCCGACTCCCCGCCTTTGTGTGCAGGGCATCCACATTTTGGGTTACCAACCAGTACAGCTTTCCAAGTTTCTCCCAGGTGCTCAAAGCCCAGTGTGCAGGGTTAGGCTGGTGGGAGGAGAATTGAGGCCAGCCCACGAAGCTTCTTGCCCAGTACCGCTGGCGGATTGGGGCACTCCGGACAAAATCGCTATGTTGGATGGGCCTGCGGTCAGTGCGGGCATAAAGCCCCACGTTTTCTGACCTGTAGTCTGGTATTCCCGACTCGGTGGAGATTCCTGCCCCAGTCATCACGACAAGTCTCTTGGAAAGGGTGACGAAACGCTGTAACTCTTTGACCTTCTCAGGGTCCAAAGGAGGACTTGCTGGCACAAACAACCCAGTGGAGCCTTTTGAGCACTGCCGGCTGGGGTTTGCAATTCCACGGCCTTTTGCTGACCTGAAAGTCAACCCAAAGCTCATCTTCATTCTAGAGAAAAAGAAACCTCATGTGAGAAACTGGGGTGTTTTTTTCCCTCTCTCTCTCTCTTTTTTTTTTTAGACAGCATCTCCCTCTGTTGCCCAGGCTGGAGTGCAGTGGTGCAATCACAGCTCACTGCAACCTCCACCTCCTGGGTTCAAGCAATTCTCTTGCATCAGCCTCCCAAATAGTGGGATTTCACGTGTGCACCACCACACCTAGCTAATTTTTCTGTATTTTGGTAGAGACGGACTTTCACCATGTTGGCCAGGCTGGTCTTGATCACCTGACCTCAGGTGATCTGCCTGACTTGGGCTCCCAAAGTGCTAGGATTATAGGCATAAGCCACTGCGCCAGGCCATGGTTTTTTGTTTTTGTTTTTTTTTTTGAGACAGAGTCTGTACCCTCCACCTCCCGGGTTCAAGTGATTCTCCTGCCTCAGCCTCCCGAGTAGCTGGGACTATAGGCAAGCACCATCATGCCTGGCTAATTTTTGTATTTTTAGTAGAGACGGGGTTTCACCATGTTGGCCAGGCTGGTCTCGAACTTCTGAGCTCTAGTGATCCATCTACCTCAGCATCCCAAAGGGCTGGGATTACAGGCGTAAGTCTCGGAGCCTGACCCTAGTAGGTCAGGTTTTGATGAAGTCCTTTTCAGTGTCCAAAGGAGGACTTGCTGGCACAAATAACCCAGTGGAGCCTTTCAAGCACTGCCGGCTGGGATTTACACTTCAACGGCCTTTTCTACCTTTCAGGGTTTTGATTTTGTTCATGTAATTAAGCACACGCACACTCCTTTTATTTTTTTCTTTTTTCTTTTCTTTTTATTTTTTTGAGACGATGTTTTGCTCTTGTTACCCAGGCTGGAATGCAATGGCTTGATCTCGGCTCACCTCAACCTCTGTCTCCCGGGTTCAAGCAATTCTCCTGCCTCAGCCTCCCAAGTAGCTGGGATTACAGGAATGTGCCACCACACCCCGCTGATTTTGTATTTTTAGTAGAGACGGGGCTTCTCCATGTTGGTCAGGCTGGTCCGGAACTCCCAAACTCAGGTGATCTGCCCGCCCCAGTCTCCCAAAGTGCTGGGATTATAGACGTGGGCCACCGTGCCTGGCTTCCTTTTATTTTTTCATTTCCCCCTTATCATTTTAGTTTACCCTTCCCTGCAAACTCTGCTACTTGGACACAGCAGAGAGACAAGATCCCTTGCCAGTCAGCTTTTCTAGCTGTAAAAATAGAGGGCTGGGCGCGGTGGCTCACGCATGTAATCCTAGCACTTTGGGAGGCCAAGGCAAGTGGATCATTTGAGGTCAGGAGTTCGAGACCACCCTGGCCAACATGGTGAAACCCTATCTCTACTAAAAATACAAAAAATTAAAAAAAAAAAATAGCCAGAAGTGGTGGCATGTGCCTGTAATCCCAGCTACTGGGGAGGCTGAGGCAAGATAATTGCTTGAACCCGGGAGGCGGAGGTTGCAATGAGCCGAGATCGCGCCTTTGCACTACAGCCTGGGAAAAGAAGCGAGACTCCGTCTAAAAAAAAAGACTTTGACATATTATTTGATAAAATGCACAAATCCTCTAGTGACATGCACCCCGTATGTAAACATTATTTTATGCTTAGCTTTCCAGATTTGAGAGCAGGACCCCGCTTCCTTCTTGACATTCCACAGCAACACGTGAACAGCTAAACAAACGCACAGTCCGGTTTCCTGAGACCAAAGGGCCAGGGAAACCCCGCTGAAAACGCCCTTCAGTGGAACAGCTGCTCTCTTCCAGGTCCCCCCAAGGGCAAAGAGGAGAAACAGAATCCCTCACAAGAAATCCACAACTTCAGAAACCCGCAGCCCTCACAGAACACACTTACCTCTCACAGTTCCAGGACCACCTCACAACCCACAGTGGGATTGCCTGATTGCACTTGCATTTTGGGACATGTAGTCCAGAAAGCTTAAGTGATGCGAGAAAAACTACAAGTCCCACAATCCTCCGCGTCTCGCAATTGACGGCCCCAGATCGTCCAGGATCGCCTCCTGTCGGCTCTTTCTGGTCAGAGGTTCTCCCTTTATATAAAAGCTTTTAATCGTGGATTCTTTTGTTTTGTTTTGTTTTGTTTTCAATTTTTGTAGGCACATAGTAGATGTATATATTTATGATGTACATATGATTTTTTTTCTTTTCTCTCTCTTTTTTTTTTTGAGACGTAGTTTTGCTCTTGT